TTACTGCTTTATCTGCCATACTAGATCTAGTATTAGTTTTCTGAAAAGTCAGAACATTCCAGCTACCCTACATCCATAGCCCCATTTTTTCAGCTTGTATCCTAATTCAGCTTAAGAGCTGGAAGGTTAAGGCAATTACAGCTATAACAGCGAGACAAGCATCACCTCTCTTAACTTGACATTACCAATGTATTGCTTTGCTCACTAGCAGCCAGTGTCTTCATTACTATTTCAGTACAGGACGTACTGTATTTGAATGCAAGCTTGTCATACACATGCCATCGTATATCTCCATAGAGAAGAGCAGGAATTTAGCCACTAGGAAAACGTTCTTTTCTTCTTTGCTAACTTCCTCTGCTGTTGATGTTTCTGTCTGTCTGTTTTCTTAGAGGAGAAGTTTTCCAGTGTGCTTTCTTCCTTTCTGAATGAAGTATGCTGGTCTTAATTTAGAGAATTTATTGACAAGCTTTCAAAGTCTTTAAAGTACCATTAATGGTGCTCAGTGAAGAGTGTTCTGGTTGTGAGTGTGGGTTCTCTTTTGTCTCTTGGCCTCCCTTTGAAAAAAAACTGGATGATATAAAAGCAGCTGAAAATCAGAAGTTGTAGTTGTCTTGGAGAAAATGCCTATCTTTAAAAAGAGGTCTAAAGCTTTTTCTTTAATCTTTTTATATGACTTCTGTAGTTTCCTAATGACAGTTAGAAAGGTAGAGGTGCTCTGTTAACTGTGAATGGGCACAGACATCTCAGAATAGTCACTTTATCTAATATACTGAATGGGTGACCTTGGGGACTTTGTTTATTAAAGGTATTCGTTTAAACAAGGTATTGTTCCTAGATGTCTTGGATTTACCAAAACATGCCTGTAAACTGAGGGCTAAAGACTGACATCAGGAACACCACACTTATGCTATCTGATTATGTAACTCTTTTCAAACCACCCTGAGCTTAGAACTTGAGTTAACCAGAAGTTTTTATAGGCGGTACATGCATTTGGAAGAATGAATGTTTTATCTTGCATTACACAAATTTCTGTTGCTTGTATTGTCCAAACTAACCATCAGTACTACAACTGATAGTAGCTAAATTTCTGGATATGTTACTGATTCACAGTGCCTTATTTAGCAAGTAATTTCAAGTTTTCCATCTGTAAAATACTATGGCAGAGACTTTAAGTGTATTGGTGTGGTATTCACAATCCACACAATTTAAGTGTGTGGTATTCACAATCAACTGTCTACCCTACTCTACAGTAAGGAAGTTTCTAACAATTGATACAAAGTTCTTGTAAGGCCATGCGGTGTTTCATTTAGTAATGTGTAATCTTATGGATTGCTAAATCAGTGCAGCACATATGAAATAGACTAAATACTAGCTGTCACCTAGGATTCGGAATAATTAATGGGCAGTCATCAGCCAGTGAATCAAATGGCATGCAATCAGATAACACATACTATAAAACAGAATGCAAAATCATACAGATTCAAACATGGAAGGTAGACCATTTACATAAAAGGGAATGTTTCCTGGGCAAGGAGTGACTCTAAGAAAGTGACTCTGTTCTCAAAAAATGAGTCATGATAAAACCACTTATTTTGCATGAGTTGCTAAGCATGTAGCTGGATGTGAAAATGGCAATAATGTAAATTTCCTGATAGATGACGGGGTTGGGGGAGTTGCACTTGTTTGAAACCCCTTAATTAAGCTGTTAATAGCAGGTAACTTCACACCTTGACTTGCACTCTCGCTCATCTTTCACTGGTCAGAGCAGCAGGTGGGCGGCCAGCCCTGGCCTTTCACGCTGAAGCAGAGGGCCACGCTGGTGTGGGTAGCAGCCCGGGCGGTGCAGGGAAAGCAGTCGCGATCTTCTGTTCCACCAGCTGTGAATGCAATCCTGCAGCCTTGGC